TTCTTCGAAGAAAACGCTTTGGCGATTGAAGTTCAACACTTAATGGCATGTAGTATATAGACGATGATGGGTCAGTACCAGCAGAAGCAATAAAAGCAACAAGAATCTGGCCGAAAGGCAATTTAGCCATTCAGTTTTTTGCTACATCTTCTTCATTTCTTTTATTTTTTTTTTTTTGCTTTTTTTTCTGTTGTCTGAGCCAAGAGGGAGACGCATTGATTTAAATTGGCCATTTCATTGCTTCATTATTTGCCGGGCGAATCTCAGAGATACTCAAGTTGATTGTTTGTTTTGTAACTTGAATGCACAGTAACCAAAAATTGAGGAAATTGGTCGAAACTATCACAACTATATCTGGGAAATATGTAAATCCTTAAAAACATCTCTAAGTTGTTTATTTCAAAGTGAAATTTTGACTAATCCTTAATTTGTATATATATGTTGTGTCCTTGTTGGTAAGTCATCTTAGTTTTCTTCTCTGTGTGCAATGCCTGGTCTAGGCCTTATTGTTGTTGCAGGCTCTATGGCTCTCTCATTTATTTATTTCTGTATAAACACTGACTCTGGTTTTGGTTTTGGCTCATTTTATTTATCAGTTCTTTACTCTGGATTTGGATTATTTTGTAGACCAGGACTTGTTGAAGATTTGTGGAATTCCGTTTGGAGTTGGGAGCCCATGAAGTTGCCATTGACAGGTTAACCTTTGGCCAGAACCCAGTTAACCTGATTACTCAGGCAGGACGCACCAAATTGAGTATAATTTCTATTTTTTGTCGAGACCAGCCACGCGCTTTCGTATGCCAATTTTTCCATTTCCATTCAGGTCGCCTCTTTTCCTTTTTTGTAAATTATGCAAATCGAGCAACATAAAAGCGCAGACCAAGTGCAAGAACTTGGGGCCGCAAAGAGCATACATACATACATCCATAGGATCTGCAGGTCAAAGACTGCCCCATTTTCCCCTCAGGATTCCAGGGACCACTCGTCTCAAGTTTGTCTACAAATGTGGATTTACTTAATCAAGTATTTATGTTGGCCTACAAAAGTTAAAATTATGTGGTGCCCATAGAGTGGCCGTCGCCTGTCGCTAGTCCCCTGTCCACGCGTCCCTTCCCAAAAGGCAAATAAAAAAGGCAGTCGGTACAAGATGCTTTCATTTGTTGTGGCTGTGGAAATACCCTGCAAATGCAGCATATAATTTATTAACACCTTTAAGCTAAGCTTTCAATATTTTTTAAATATATATATATACATCGATCAATGGATATATTTTTAAAGCCATTTCAAGCTCTCGATATTTTTAATAATGTAAGCGTCGACTTAAAATCGATAGACGTTTCGATATGTTTGCCAACTCTAAGCTTAAATTGTACTTTTCTTTATTGATATAATTTATCTCCCTCAAAAATATTCCTTCACTTTTTAAAACCGAATTAAATCTGAGAAAAAAACTATTTAATTCTATGTTAATAGATTTTAAATCGATTTAAATCGAATTTAGCATATCTAAATGCATCGAAAATATAGATGGGTATCATAAAATCCACCAACAGGGGAAAATATGTTCTTCGCTTGGCGTCGGCGGCGACGGCGGCGGCTCAACCGAAAACTCTCAAGGACGACGGCCAAAGAAATTGAAAACTTTTTTAATACCCTTGGCTGTCGTCGTCGTCGTCCTGGCTGCAGTAGCAGTCAAAGGAAGGCATCGACGGAGCAAATGTGTCAGGATTCGAATTAGAATTAGAAACGGTGCAAAGGGGATAGTCGGCTGCCAATCCCCCCAGGGCAATTTTTCTTAGAACCAGAACCAGGACCATTTGCTTAACAGTTTCTGTTTGACTTTACAATTAGTTGCCCCGCTCGGGGGTGTCTTGGTAAGTCCTTTGTTTCTGCAAGGCTTTCGATTTGTTCAGTCGGACGAAAAGATGCAATAACAGATGGGATAGCCTTGGTTCAGGCTATAATGTGGAACATGAATATAAGAATTAATGTTGATTACTAAAAAGACTTTTAAAACGAAATGCAATTAATATAAATAATAAAATATCAAACGAAAGCGATAAGAGTAATTAGTAAGGATGATCTAAACCTTTAATAAAATCTTAGAAATTCCTAGACAGAATTATAGAACTGCAACGGAGTGTACTACAAGGCTATCCCTTCTTCTATTGTTCTATTGAATAATTGAAGCTTTTCAATCCTATTTAATTAAGCAGCCAGAAGCTCGTCGCCGGCCACAAAGATGCGTAGATGGATGGACAGGTTTTTTTCCTTTTTTTTTTGTTTTGTTTGGGCGCGTGTTTTTCAGATTTCGGATTTCGGACTACGGGATCCTTTGGTCTGCTGGCCACAGACAAGGGCAATAAAGCCCAGCTGCGTGAGGGGGAGACCTTGGACCAGGTCCAGAGTCAGTCCATGGCTGCACCGATAAGAACACCAACTAAAGTGAATTGAATTTGGATTAAATCGAACGCATGTGCGTGGGCTTACTCTCTGTGTGTTTGTGTGTGCAAAACCAGTGATAAGCACTCGATGAACAATGAAATTTCATTTTCTAGGAACAAAGAACCAGAAGCCGGCACCAGGCAGAAGCTCGAGAAGGTACAGGTCCTAGACTAGGACTTGGACTGAAACGAGGACCATAACCTGGAACATTTTGCCACTCGTCCGAGGGCAATTAAAAAATAATACACTGCTGTGACTCTTTGTTGGCCCTGGTCACGTCAGCCACCCGTTCACATCAATGCCAAGGCTGGGCTCAATCATCGGCCAAGTCCAGATCCGCTTTCAAGCTCCTGACCCACTATGGCACAGTGGGTTGAAATAGGAAATTGCCTTAGAAAAAGCGCCCTAAAACTAGGAAACATTTTCTTATTTCTAGGGTGTTTTTTTTAGGGCAATATTTTTAAAATATTAAAAAAAATTTAGAAGTAAATTTACATTACATTTAAAATATAGTTTTAATGAATCTAAGGCAACAATTACATTTTTCAAGGTAAAAAAAATATGTGTCAAGACATCTTGCATATAATTCCCAACTCGTTTTAGCATTCCTGTAATATTGTGAAGGTTTCCGATGTGGGATACCATGTGGCTTAAAATAATAATAATAATAGTAAATTATTATATAAATATTATTATATAATATACTAAATAAAGTATATTTTAAAATTTCTAATTAAATAAAAATCCCCCAAATTTCCCACTGTGCAATCTTCTAGCCAAAAAATTGGCAAAGGCACGTTCGCTAGTGATGCAAACAAGTGTGTCCCTCCCACTCCACTTCCATGATTGATTTGCATAATTGGCAGACTGGGCGACAAAGTGGATTAGAGTCGCCCTGCCCAGCAGCACACACTCCACATTTACAATTTGCCCTTTTTGTATTGCAAAGAAAAAAATCCCCCGATTGAGCAGACGAAATTAAGGCGAAAATAATTAACAATTTCAATCCCAGTCAGACAGCAGAGGCGTTTGAAAAAAAAAGAAGTGAATATAAATGGCCATCAAATCGCATATTTATGTTGAATTAAACATTAAACAAAGAAAGAATTTTATCTATAAAGCCCATGCTTCTTGCTGCTTCTTAGTGAAGTCCTTGGTATGAGTATCCTGTGAATTTATTTAATAATTTTCAAAAATTAAGTATTAATGCCCATATGAGCCGCATGGAATGTACATAAATTGCTGTAAATTTTCAACTACATTTTCTGCACTCTGAGAGATGATGGCCTGAAAATGTGGTAAGCTGTGCAATGAAGTGCATAATTTACAAACGATTACGATTCCCTTTACCCCTCCGCACTTTGCCTTTTTCATTTGCATTTGTCTGGGAATTAAGTGATCAGAGTTTGGTTGCCTGAAACAGACACGGCCACTGGCAACTTCAAGTCTGTACATATCTGTCTCCTACTTAAGCCCAATAAAGATGTGCATATTTTTTAGCCAATTACCAAAAGGCCTTAACGCTGACGTTGTGGCGTACGCCTGTGTGATGAGGGAACGCATGATGGGCCAAATTATGATGTCGTTAATAGAATTTCTATGCTCTGGCATGGCTATGGCTATGTACATACATACAGTTTAAACTCTTTGATGACAGCGTTTCAAAATACAACAGACATCAAATTTTTAAGATTACAACAAACTCTTTCTTTTGAAAGACATAGACACCTGTGGCATCAACAGACCCAAAAGAATCTTAAAAGAAACTCCTTTAAAGCATACGTATTTAAAATATTAAAGGCAGAAAAATCGCCCCAGAGCGCCTTGACGGCACTTAATCCTTTTTAAAAAAGTTTGCCCAACTAATTGAGCAAACAAATCAAATGGCGGCCAAAACCGCATTAGGCCAACAAAAACAAAGGGCCAAAGAAAGCGCCAACGATGGGCTAACAATAACAGGGACTAATTAAAACAATAACAAAGAATCGGCGACGAGGGACAGAAAGTTTGAAAATGGCTAAGAGGGGAAGGGTTGGTTACGAAGGCGCAGGAAGCTAAGCCCCTGAGCTTTGACATCAAGCAGTTTTGAATTTCAAAGGAGCGCCAAGAGTTCGATGAGCTTAAGCGAAAAGCTGTTTCTTTAAAACATTTTAAAAAAGCCGTTTAAAAAAATCTACTTAGTAAATTATAAAATTTAATCAAAGTTTTTCAGTGAACCTAAATCCATAACCTATGTATATATATATGTTTATATATTTAGTTATAAATATGTAGTTGAGGATTTATCTATACGTATATAAATAAATATGTTTATAAAGATTCATAAATACATATTTTTTAAAGAATTTTGCCAACTAATTTGATAGCTCTAGCTCTTATAGCTCCAAAGACAGTGCCAAATTGACTCGCCTGGTGATGCTGGCAGAGAATATTAATACTTGATTTGGGTTCTTACAGTATTCCTTGCATTATTTTGGCATAATATCCTTTAACCTAGTGGAATATTTAACAACCCCCAAGGCCCATTCCATAATAAAAATAAACAACGTGCTTGATTTTTCTTTTTAGTTGGCCATTTTTGAACATTTACTTGCGCACACACATACTTGTACATACATACCACATTTAATATATGCATAGGCATAGTAATATTCAATGGATTTATTTCTGCTAATTTGATTTACTTATATGAGAACTTTTCTAGTAAATACTGCAATAGCACTAAACAAAAATTCACTAACTTAAAAACAATTGATGGAAATATATGATGCAAAAGTTTATCGTAAGAATATTTTGTTTTTGTTTTGTTTGTTTTCTTTTTCGACAAAATTAATCATGTAATAATAATAATAATAATTATAATAATAATAATAGTAAAAGAAACACAGACATTTGTAGTACACCTAAACATAGTGGATCGAGACCCGAAGTGCTTTCCAAGTTTTTCTCTGCTTTGTTATGTGTATAAATTACAATTAATGATTTTTGTCGGGTTTGTTTTGGTTTCAGTTTGGGGGAATAGCATATAGCATACATATATCGGATTGAGGACTCTCCGGTTCTTAAGTTTCCAGGTTCTAGTTGACAGTTTCCAGTTCCCAGACGCCAGCTTACGCCTCCTTCTCCTGCTTGTGCTTAAACTTGTTTTTGAGGAGGCCGGGCAACAGGGAGGCACAGGCGCACACCATCAGGATACCCATCGAGGTCCAGGAGAATGCCTCGCTCGAGCTGGTCATCTTCTGAAGGGTCTTCCCCGCCTGGATGGCAATGACCGATGGCGGTGCGACACCGCAAAAGGTGCCCAAGGCGAAAATATGCAGCGGCACTCCAATCACCGGTGACGCCAGATTGATGAACCAGTTCGGTAGGATCGGCGTCATGCGCAGGAATAGCATATAGTTAAACAGACTGTCCCGGTACTCCTCCACATGCTTGGACCATTCGCTGGTCTTCTTTGGCCAAAAGTGCCGGATCAGGCGACGTCCCACCAGATTGGAAAGTGTGTAGCATAGGGTGGCGCCCAGCGCCGAGCAGAAACAGATCAGGAACAGGGCAATAGGGAATTTGTACAGGAATCCAAGCAGAATCGACAAGAACAGCGATCCGGGAATGGCGAATGTTTGCAGGCTATAAATGGATTTCAATTAGGTCAAGGCAACCAGTCGCAGGCGGTTTGATCTGAATAGTGGCTGAAAACTTGTGTACACTTAGCACTGGCTAGAAGCCAACACAAAATAGTTCCCTTTCTCTTTCGACAAACCAATTTCCCTTACGAATGATCACTGTGCTTCGGATTAGCAAAAGATTTGACGGTCAGTTGGACGCGTGCTCGGGCACGGGCTGTGTTCAGCTATTAATAGACGCGAAGACCTGACAATGGCACCCCCATCGCAACGAGTATCTCAGAGATTCCCCAGAAGAATCGAATCATCTGGCATCGGACCACGTATTGTGCAGATGCCCGATAACGGCATACGCCCTCTCCTCCCTCTTGCAAAACACACAAACAAATAATAATTGCGAGATAGTAAAGAAATACAAACAAAAATAGTACTTATTTACTTTGAATTTTGTTGTTCGCCTTGGCTGGGGGGGGCTAAAAACGCAATTGAATTAGCGGAAAAAAAGAGTACAAAACAAACTCAAGACGACAACAAAATTATGTCCAGCTCAGCTGATTTCTTTGACGAAAACAGCAACAAACACAAAGAATGCGTCACACGAGTGTCCAAAGTCGATTTAAGAGGGAGCGAGAGCAATGGGGCATGCATTAGGCTGGACCCATTACATTATCAATTCAACATATTTCAATTTATGTTTGATCGTTTCCTAAAATTATTTTATATTACCTCCAGTAAAATTTAAATTTGATTAGCTTATCAATTTACAATGGACAATAAAAATTAATAAAAGCTATAGTGCGACAGGTCCACCCTAAGAGTGCACGTCGAACGCAAAGCTAATGAGTGCGTGTGGGAGAGAGGGTATTCAGAGTGTGAGTGCGAGCGGGAGAGCGACTGCAATATCACCTGAGCTGCGCGCACGTTCTGTGGGTGCCCGTGCCCCACTTCCTGGTGCCATCTCGCTCGCACCCGCAGGCGGTGTACGGAACTACCCACGTAATTAATATGCACACTACGGCGATCGGCGGTGATCATGCATTAATTAAGCCAAATACAAATGTACGGCCGGCCGTGAATAGTTTGTGCTGTCTGTCCGTTTGTCTGCCTTTTTTTGGGTAATCGGGTCAAGGTTAACGTCGAACAATAGAATTCTTATCTAATCGGTGGCCGATTCCTAGACTCTAGACTTTCGATTTTCGGTAGCTAATAGCTGTAGGTGTTTGCGTTGGTAAAGGATACAATACGTAGGCGACAACGACGCCGAACATCACTTCGAAGTAGTACATGTCCTTGTAGCGATCGAGGACTTTGGCAAGCATCTTAGCATCTTGGATATCACGCGGTATTTTCAAATGTTGTTTTTCCGACCTGCGGAGAGAATAAGAAGAGCAACAAGTCGGGGTGTAAACATTTTTGGCGTGATAATATGGGTGGCAAGTGGCGTGACTCGGCTTATATATGTGGCTGTGTGTGTGCTTGTCTGTAAACCCTCTCGCTAGCAGTGATGTTAATTTCGCCATTTTCCAGCTGTAACTAAGATTATGGAATCAAAATCTTAATGTTTTTTAAAAATATAAGCAATCTAAAGGGTTTTGCTTAACTTTAATATTTGAAAAACATTTTTTAGAATTTTCAGTTTTCATTTAAATGGTCAAGTATTCAAATTACCAAAAAAAAAAATAGCTTTTAAAAACTTTTTGATGATAATATTGAGACTTCTGCTATTTTTACTTCCACAATTTCACCCCATTGAGTTTGGGCATACACATTAGAGATAGTCAAAAGATAACCAATTTTATAGTGCCATAAAAGATATTGGTGTAATCATTATATCATTCAGTAACTATTGCAATTACCTTATAATATTTTACACACGCATATCTAGAAAACAGTAAACAAAAGAGTCGCAAAAGCAAAGACTAGCTGATAAGAACAATTTCACAACATCATCAATTAACAACGAAAATAATAATAATGAACATAAGTAAGGGGAGCTCAACCCCTTGATACTTCCAAATAAATCACAAGTTGCGATCGACAAACAAAAAAAAAAATGAAAGATTATGCGATGAGTTTGCGATTTTTGTGCCAATTCAAATTCAACAAATATGGAATTGATATTTTACAGAACATGTGTACATATGTTTTGAACTACCAAGAAATTGATAACGTTTTGCCAGGCACGTTGGCTGATTAGCTTTTTAACCAAAATACCAAGGTGCACGTGTGCTTATAACTAAGCGAAATAAATAAATCAAACCTTATTTTAATAGAAACCCAGAAACTACAGAAGAGGCGATCAGACAGGAATTGGTTATCTACATATATCTCAGCAGATTTCCATGCTGTGACAAATATTCCGGAGATTATTACTGTGATCTAGCTACTTTCAGCGGCATCTCTGCTCGCAAATCAAGCGAGACCTGCACACAGACACACACTGGCACACCCGCTTGACTTTTTTTTTACACCTCACAGGTGCACGAATGCGCTGGGGACACATCATCCGTGGAGACGGGGCTCTAATTGATCCAACTTACACATTCAGCTCGGGGAATATGGCGTAGACATAGCACATGGTGGCCAGGCTGGCTACGAAGATCGCCGCCACGATGACCAGGGACTTCTTGGTGGCCTTCTTTTCGTCCGGCGACATTGCCTGCTTTTGTGGCGTGGCCTGCTGCTGCTGGTGTTGGGTCTGATCCAGATCCTGCTGCTGCATTTGTTGCTGCTGCTGTTCCACCTGCTGACCCAGCGATTGGTCCTTCGATGGCTTGTGCCGGCCGTTCCGCAAATTCAGAGTGCTGCCAAGACCGTTCAGCTTAGGCATCTTATCGGAGTTGTCTGGAACAGCATGAAAAAGGTGGTTATTTCACAGATTAAACACTGCTTAAAGGTTAAACACAGTTGTTCCCTTCCATGCGTCTCTTCCTCTTTTCCAGCTGATAAGCCAAAGAAGAAACAAAGCCAAAACTCACCCACACTATTGCAGCAAGACATTGCGGTAAAACAGCTCACAAAACAGGAACAAAAAACAGCTTGGCTTTAATTTTACAAGCACAATATTTGACTCATTTAGCGTCTAAGCAATTTATCAATTGTTGTTATACGCCTCTGTGGTCGTGAGTGCGCCCGCGTGTGTGTGTATTTGCGCGCCAGCAATAATTGTTGTTGTTGTTTTCCTCTCTATCCGCGTGTGTCAGTGTGTGTGTATGTATTCACAATGATTTCAATCAATATTGTAAAAAAAATATATATATAAAAATTGCCAGACGAAATGTTTAGACAATACAGCCGTGTTTTTCTGGCCACTCAGTTTTTTCCTAGAACTAAGAATTTTGAGAAAACTTGTGAGACGCGCGCTCTCGCCGAAAAATAATAAATTTAACTATTTCATTTTGGAGACAGTGTGCACGCAGTCAGTCCTCTCGAAAATACCACACTCTAAAAAAAACACCTAAAAATGACTCGATTAATTTGAAGGAGTGAAACTTTGCTAGACATTTGTGGGTCAATTTGCTGTTGGATTTTTTTAAATCAAATTTTTTACTTTCATTTAAATTGTTAAATTAAAAATGCATGTACCAGCCTATATTTACAAAACCAATTTGTGTGTAAGGGTTTCTGTAATTGATTGCTATCGGTGCTATCGATAGCAAGAATAACAAATGCATTTCTTAAACATTAATTTATTGTTTTCGTGGTAAAAAAAAAGTAATGGGAACTCCATTTAGTCTTAGTGCTTAGGCATCCGCTGCCGTCTTATTCTTTAGTTGACGGTACAGTGAAATCATCTTGTTGCGCTCGTTTTCTAGCATGGACCGTGTGGCCGCCGGAAGATCCCTTCGCTTGCCCTTCATCTGCGCCTTGGTGGGCGCTTTGAAGGCCTCCTTGGATTTGGCTGCCACCTTTCGCCCACTGCCTTCATGCTGGTCTTGGTCCCCTTCCGTTGTGGCGGGATTCAGCATCGATTTCAGGAGGAGATTGGATTTGCGTCCCGGCCGTGGCACAGTCTCGTTCTTCGGCGCCTTTCTAGGCAGCGTCTTAAGCGATGGTGGCGCATGTACGATCTCACCAAATGCGAAAACGTCTCGTTTATATTCTGCGGGCGGGGCGCTTTTCTCGTTCTCGGAATCCACCTCGTCCTTGGCCTCCTTGAAGGCTCTCTTTATCAGCTCCCTGCTGGTTTTGGCATCCATTGTTGTCTTCTGGGGGGCATTATTTGCCTTTCTCCGACCATTTTTGCCCGCAGCTGTGCGACGTTCCTTTTGTTTCTGCTTGAGCAGTTCATCAATCTCATTTTTTGGCCTCTTCTGGACCGTAATCTCTCCGGTCTTGGGATTTCTAATCACATTTACGCCATATTTGGCCTCGTACTGGGCCTCGCGTACGGAGGCACTGGTGATGCGGTTAACGCGACGCAGATAATCCTCGTCCGTTTCGTTGGCAAACTGTTTGATATTTTTGACTTCTTTGGCAGAGATGGAGCCGCCGCTGGTCTTGGCCCCTAACGACGACTTGGGAATATCCTCCTTGCCTATGACCCCGAGTTTCACCTTCTTTCCGCTTTTGGTTGCATCGGCGAGCCGCTTGAACTGGCGGAACTTGAAGGACACCTGCTGCTCGTCCTTTCTCTCGGGCGGATTATTCGTTACTTTGGAGAGTCTGCAATGGAAATATGTTGGAGCGGGGTTTCTAGGAGATTATGGCATAAGATAATACTTCTTTTCCTTCTGCTCTATTTGCTTGAGGGGATCGCGAATGCCGTGGTGCTTGCGCACTGGGATTTTCCGTTTCCTGGCCATTATTTCTCCTACTTTCGATGCAAACTCGTGGTTTTATTTACAAATATTACGATAACGATAGGGTTTGACTATCGATTGTGAAATAGATAGTCGGGTGGATGATCTATCGATAGTGTAAGTCTAAAAAAATATTAATTTTAATCGATTTAAAATATAACAAAACTCTTACATTTCTTAATTTTTCCTGGCGTCTGATCGCAAGTCCGTTAGATTTTGCAAGTTGCATTCAGCGCGCTATCGATAGGTCAAGTCGATAGCTAGGCAAAACATACGATACCATACCAGTGTTGCGAAGCGCTCGCCTTAAATCAGCTGGAGGCGGTGCTTGTAAAAAAAAAAAAAAAAAAAAACTGACAGCAGGCCAGGAGATTTCACATAAGAGCAAATTAGCTTTTTCCCAGCCGCAGCTCCTTTCGGAATCGACAAAATGCTGACGAATTGTGCCACCAAGACACTGGCCGCAGTGGTAAGCGGAGTGTCCCTATTTTGTCCATTGAATGGGCTGGGGGAATGGCTACTGCCTTCCCGTTTGGTTATATAATTATGCCAGGGAAAACAATAACATTAACAGGATCTAAACGATATTGCAGCGCAGTGGAATCCGGGCAATCACCACCAGCGGCGTCCGGGCCAGTGACAATCTCTTCGTGCATCGCGACACCCCGGAGGATAACCCGAACATCCCGTTCGAGTTCACCGCAGAGAACAAGAAGCGCGTGGAGGCAATCCTCAGCATCTATCCGGAGGGCCACAAGCGGGGAGCGATGATCCCCCTGCTGGATCTGGCCCAGCGCCAATACGGCTGGCTACCGATCTCGGCCATGCACAAGGTGGCCGAGATTCTCGAGCTGCCCAATATGCGCGTCTACGAGGTGGCCACCTTCTACACGATGTTCATGCGCAAGCCCACCGGCAAATATCACATCCAGGTGTGCACCACCACGCCCTGCTGGCTGCGCGGTTCGGATGAGGTCCTGGAGACGTGCAAGAAGCAGCTGGGCATCGGTGTCGGTGATACCACCAAGGACAAGAAGTTTACCATTTCGGAAGTGGAATGCCTGGGTGCTTGCGTCAATGCGCCCATGGTGGCGGTCAACGATGATTATTATGTGAGTTCCCGAGGTGGTTCTATATCTTATATTTACTCAAATTTGTATATGTTTTTTCTATTCCAGGAAGATCTGACGGCCAAGGACATGCAGGACATTTTGAGGGACCTTAAAGCCGATAAGCCATCGCCGCCTGGTCCCCGCAATGGACGCTTTGCCAGCGAGCCAAAGGGTGAGCCCACATCCCTAAGCGAGGAGCCAAAGGGTCCCGGTTTCGGCCTGCAACCCGGCCTCTAGGGGATTAACACAGCCTGGGAGCATCTAGCCAATAACACCGTATCACTGATTGTCGAGCGAAAATGTTAAATAAAAGTTAAGCAACTCTAAGAGGGCCTTGATAACCGATTGCCTGTGTTCCGATTTGGATTTCTCTTGGTTTAGCTCCTCATCCCATTCTACCCTTTGGGGACATTACTTAACTGGCTAGTTCCCAGTACAAACTTCATATTCCAGTGACATCTTTTACATTTATTTAATTATTTATTCCATACTGGAGATGCTTTTGCAACTCTTCTAGTATTATTATTATTATTCTTTTTACACCCAAGTGTCTAAATATTGATTGAAGAATTGGGAAGAATGGTGAGAGGCTTTATCTGCAGCTGTGTAGTTACAAATTCCTTTACTCAACTAAATGTATTTAGTTACCGAATCGAGGTTTCTGCTTACTTAGATCTAAGTTTAATTTTCTTACACTTTACGCTGGCTGGGTGCAGCACAACCAGATATAATACTACGAATATACCGTGGTGCCTGACCTCACTTAGATGCTAGATAAATCTTCTGTATTCTTCAGTGTTCCTTGCTGGGATTGTTGGGATTTGTGATGCGGCGCACTTGTTCGATCCTAAATGTGTTTTTTTTTTTTTTTTTTTTTTTTTTTTTTTGTATTTGCTTCCTCCAGCTGAAACGTTGAAATTAACGAAAAAAAACCCAAAAACAAAACAAATATGTTCAGAATTTAGGCAAGCGGCCTTCGCCGACGACGACCACTTCGAGGTGGCGGGACAGCCGATGAGATGACTGCCTTGGCCGCAGCCTTCACTCACTCCTCGCCATAAAACACCCTGGAAAAGGATACAAAAAGAAGTTAGTGTGCACTATTGTCCTGGTTGAAGGTTTGTGTTAAGAGCCCACCTGTTTTTGGCGGCGGAGCGCTTGGAGGAGCGCTCGATCCGATTATGTATGTTCGTCCTGGGATAGCACTCATTAACCAGCCTCTTGGTCTTCTTCGGTGACTCGCGCAACTCCTTGGTATCCACGTTCTTTTGCGTAATTAGTGCCCGCTTGTACTTCTCAATCAGACCCTCGCAGAAGAGATTTGACTCCGGCTCCCATGTGTCGTCTTTGGCCCCGAATCCCTTCCACCGTATCCGGTAAAGATTGCTGCCATCGTCGTCCTCGACACAATCAACAATGCGTTCAACCACCCATTCCTTTTCGGGATCTGCCGACGTAGCAGTTTTCTTGCCACCACCACCACCACCGACAGGTCTTCCGCGTTTACCGGTGCCAGCTTGCTTAACGACTTTCGGCGGCCTTCCTCTGCCTTTGGCTCCGGTATCGGTTGCTTTCGATTGCTAATCAAAAATAAAAGATATTTGTGAATAAGATTATGGGATTATGTATATAATAACTTGGCTGAACTTACCTTGTTGCGGAACTGAGCAATCAAATCGTCGCAGTTTAAACCATCCTCGAGCTCCCAAGTGTCAAAGTCCTTGTTGTAACCCTTCCAGCGCACCAGAAAGTATGAGGCGCCGCGCAAAGTCTTGTGACCGACAATTGCCTCCACCTGGAATATAATGGTTTAATTTAGAAATTTTAAATGAAATGAAATTATAAATGCAAAATATAACCTGACAAAACTGTACATAAAGTCAAGTGTGAACATGTTTTGTTTTGCAAAGAATAACTTGACAAAACTGTACATAATGTCAAGTACTTGTGCATAATTATTTAAAGTTAATCTATTTTTAAAGAGTTAAGACTATAAATAGGAATTTCTCCATTTGGTAAATACATTTTGAAGCTATCTAGATATCTAGACTTCTCCCTGAAACTGTCCAAATAAAACAGCCGTACCGCTCTAATTGGGAAAAGTCTCGACCCGACTAGAATTTCTTCTTTTACTTTCAATACAGATTTTTTCTGCTGAGCGAGCATTGTTAGGGAAAATCGAAATATTAGCACTCATAACATAACATGCCTCATACTCCTCCTCTTCCTCTGAACCGGCTTCATCGTTGCTGTTGGCCTCATCATCCGCTGGGCGCTTGGATGCCGCTTTCTTGCCATTCTTGGCGGCGGCCCCAGCCTTGGTTTTGCCGGACTTGCGGGACTTTTTGGTTCCAGCGGCGCCGCTGCTGCCGTTCAGCGGTAGGTCGTCGCTGTCAATCGATCCGGCCTTGCGTTTGGTGGCCTTCTTCGTGTCCGATGAGGAGTTGGAGGCCCGGGATGTGGCTACTTCTCCATTAGAGCCCCGCTCAGATTGCTCCTCTGAGACGGCATTCTTTTCCTCGCTGTCGCGGTCGGGGGCGGCTCCGTTTTTGCGCCGACTCTCGCTGTCCGACTTCTTCCGACCCAGCTCCACCACGACCTTCTTCTTGCCTAATTTGACCATTCTTGCGTGTGTTTTGTTACCGAAGAAATGGGCTTTTGGCCAATTGTTTACTTCGTGTTAGCAAGAATTTCTTTTTTGCCGCGTACCTGCAGAACACAACAACAAAATCCGGAATTTTTTCGACGACTGTACACTAGCAATTTAGCGTTGCGATATCGATAGCACTATCGGTGGCAGCTACGTCTGCCTATCGATAGGGGTGGTCAGCTGTTCGACTTATACGCTTGCACTAGAATCTGCGGAATTCTTTTTGTTTTGTGTGTTTACCAAGTTTACTGAATCAAAATGAGATTGACAAACGTTTTACTGAAAAAAGTGAAGAGCAAGTGAGTAAACCCTTTGATCTGAATCGAATTTGTGTTTGACTACTGTCTGTATATTGTAGGCGCATCATGGTGGTGCTGGAAAGTGCGGTCAGCGGACATCAGTTTAATGCCTTTCGTGATCGTTTGGCCGAAAAATTGGAGATAATACGCTTCGATCCCTACAGTGAGTATAAATATCATGATACAGTTATACAAGGTAGTCTCGCCGGCAAAATCCGGCACTTCCACAAGCGTAATATTGCATGAGAGTGAGTGTGGGTTAACCCCTATGTGGTGCGTGGGGTTTAAAGACCACCTACGTAATTGTAACTTGAAATTATAATTTTGTTTTGTACAAATAACTGTAAAAAAAAAAATAATGATTATATTTTGAGTGTTATTTTTTCGCTCAAAATAATAATTATGCTTTGTGCTATTAAATAAATATATAATTAAAATTTTTGTATTATTTTTATCTATATCTTTCAGTTCAGAAAGAGAGCCTCTACCGCGAACGTAAGAAAATCCGCAGCGCCTAAGGGAGAACACCTAATATACTTCCCTCCTCTTCTTTCCCAATTCGTGTAGTTAGTCCAAATAAAGTAAAACAAGTAATTAAACGAAACTACATAAGTGTTTATTACAAATTTACGATTTGGTTTCATAATCCGGGCGGACGCCTACAGAACAGCCACAAAACTCAGGGATTTTGCGGGCCGAGTGCCCAAATGGGAAATGAATTACAAATGATATATGACGATTACAATGAAATGATGCGAGTTATTGGGACTTCAGAGTACATTCGTATTTTGGCAGGCAAAACGGCTGAGTCTCTTTATAAATACTAGTTATGTAACAATATTATTTATCTATCTAGGTATCATCACATTTTTTATGTTTCTTAATTTTTTACTTAAACGGCTTCTCGGTCATCAGGAGACCGCGCTCCCACAGAGCCGTGGCAACCTCTATCCTGCGATCAGCGTTCTTCAGTGGCAGCAGAGATACCTTAATATAGGCAGGATAAGCTTTTATAAGGGTCTCAACGGCACCCCCTTCTGTGGGCTCGATTTCCATGAAATTGGCCTCGTACTTGCAGTACTCCAAGGCATTGTCCACGTAGTAGTAGATCCGCAAAGAGTCTTCGGTTTGCACCAGTCGTAGGATGTTGGCGCGCAACAGACGGATTGAAGTCTGATCGGTAAACTCGTAGTCACAAATGCAATAGCCCTTCTCATCCCGTTCGCTACGCGACCCAAAGACCGTACGCAACTTCTCCTCCGGCAGAATGGTTGGCGGCAGGGCCTCGTGCTGGAACTTTTTGGCCACCTGATCCACCGCCCAGTCGATCTCAGTCTCTGTGGGCACCAGATACTTCTGCACCATCCCCTGGACATCCTTTATGAAAAGGCCGCGAGTGCGACTTTGACCGCTGGCATGCACCAGGCCCAGATTCTGCCAGGTGTGAAGCGGGAGGCCGCGACGCATGGCCAGGCTCTGCTTCACCGCCCTCTGGAGGACGTGCGGCATGAGGTGCTCCATAAGATTGGCATACGCCTGCTGCTGATAGACACTCAGCGTTATGTGCAGCGAATGCTGGTCCTTGTCGGTGATCGCCTGGTGGACAGTGCCGCGCGGGAAGTACAAAACATCGCCGGCCTCCAGCACCTCGTCCAGTATGGGCTCGCCCAGCTGCTCCTGGCTGTAATTTCCAGAGGATTCGCGGGCCAGCACGTCGGCCGGCTGGAGAGGCATGTACAGGCGCCAGCGCTTGCGTCCCTCTATCTGGAGTACAAAGGCCTCGATGTCATCAAAGTGCGGTGCAAATCCCTGACTGTTTGGCGGTGTCAGATACACATTGGCCCCAACCAAACAATGAAAGAACTCCTGCAGCATGCTGCACACCTGACGCAGTCCGGCCAAATAAGTGGACGGATTCAGTATGCGAATGCTGCAGCCATCGCCGTAGAAGCCCCAAACCGTCGGCGGCTTGGCCCTGCCTTCCGGATTCAGCGTCTCGCGCTTGCCGTCCGTATAGCTGGTCACATCGATGTTGGTGGTGAACTCCAGGTGGTTTCGTATCAGCATCTCGTCGATCATCTGGAATGAGATCAGCTCAGAGAAGAACTTGGGGTTCTTGCGCTGCACCAGACAGGCGTTCTTCTCCCAAAAGTCGCTGAAGAAGTCATCCGGCTTGACCGGATTCATGATCCACTGCAGAATGCGGCGACCCTCCTCGATGCTATTGGATTTGTGCACGTCCTTTGGTGCTTCCACAGTGGCTTCCTGCTTTATTTGCTTGGTGCTCGTGCTGGTGGTGGGCATCTCATCATCCACACGGGCACTGACCTTTGCTTCGGGCGGCAACGAGCACGATTTTGCCTCACCGGTCGCCAGGCTCTTGCGACTTTCTGGCAAGGGGCGGGAATTGCCAACTGTGGCGGCGGGCAGTGACTTGCGGACGACCAGCGGGCAATAGGGGGCCTTGCCATCCTCATACACGGGCTCAGTTTGTTCCAGGCTGCGACGCTTCTTACGTGGAACGCTCTTGTCGGGCTCGTTATCGTTATTGTTTGCATCATTGTTGGCACTAAGACTGTTTCGCTTACGATCGGTTGGCCTGGCAGCTAAAGACTTTGGGGCAGCCTTCTTGGCGGGAGGCGGCGGCAGCGGCTGTGGCGACGCTTCTGGGCTGGATATGTCCATTGGGTACTCGGTGTAATCATTATCGTCGAAGTCGCTATCGCTGCCGTATCCCGACGGCTTCTCATTGCTGTCATCCGCCTGACCATCCTCCGAGCTGTCATCACTCTCTGCGAACTCGTTGGATAGGTATTCCTCGAGCTTTTTACGCTGTACCTTCTGGGCTGCAGTCAGTTTCTTCTTGTCGCCGAGCAGTTCCTCTACCAAAGCATCCAGGTTCTTCAGATCGAACGGTGGCTGCCTTTTACCGTTACCGTTGGCACGTGCTCTTCCACCATTAGATGTCGATTGGCCTGTGCTGGTGGCCGCTTTACCGTTTTTTGGCTTGGCGATGAGTGGCGTTGATGTTGATGCCGCCGTTTTGGACATTTCGTATCGCTTTCCACTAAAGAACGTGAGACAAGGAATTTGGTAATAGTCTCGAAGCGGAATGGGAACAAGGTGTTTTATGTTGTAATCAATAACAAAAAATTCAGGTTTTGAAGTTTAAAATATCTTGCACGTGTGCTTGAAAAATTATTTTCGCCGGTTGTCAATAGAGATGTGAAGAATAGATATCGATATATCGATATAAAAATAAATATTTATATCGTGATGATTTTGTTGCCTGATTTTTAATATTTTTATTATATTTCCTTATGGAAAAAAGTTATCCAATACCGTTTTGGATCATTCGTATGGGAAATCCTCTGAAAAACACAATTGTTTGCTTTTGTTTTTGCTGACCTTAGAATAGTGTGCCCACTTCTGGTCGGCTTATTTAGGATCATGTGTTAAATGCCCGACGGTCACACTGCGGTCTCAGCACGTGTAGAATTTGTAACTCTTCCAACAACATTTCCAAATAGTTTAAGTGCGAGAAATAGTAGCGAAAAACATGGTCAGTTCGGAGGCAAAGGGAACTGCAAAGGTGGCGAAAACAGGCGTTAAGCCACCGCCGGCCTTCAAGCCCAACAAATCGCCCGGCAAGCCGGTCAATGGACAGAAATTTAAATCTGCCGGAGGAGGTGCCAAGAGATTTGATAAGCCCGCCGGAGCAGGGTCGGGCAAGAGGTTCGACAAGTCTGGTGGTGGAGCGGGCGGTTTCAAGAAGTTCGACAAGTCCGGTGGTGGAGCGGGAGGTTTCAAGAAGTTCGATAAATCCGGTGGCAAAAAGTTTGGCGGAAACAACAATAATAAGTTTGCTGGAAAGCCACAACAGGCACCGGCGGAGGGCGAGAAACAGGATTGGGCCAAGTTCAAGCAGGAGAAAAAGGACCTCAAGCTGAAGCGCAAGAGCACCAGGGACACCTACGAAATTACCAAGGAGGCCAAGCAGATCTACGAGAAGCTGCGATGGTAAGGCCCTTACAATACCCTTGTGAATACAAAATGAATCTTCTCGTCTTTCCCCTTGACAGCCGCCGCACGGAGAACAAGGACAAGCTGGTCGAGCAGATATACAAGGTGCTCAATGTGGGCGACACCATATCCAAAGTGGTTAAGGCTCACGATACCGCCCGCGTGCTGCAATGCATGCTTAAATATGCTTCTCCCGCTCTCCGGGCGGAAATATCCGACCAGCTGCTGCCCTTCACCGTGGACATGTGCCAGTCGAAATATGCCCAGTTTTGTGTCCAGCGAATGCTTAAATACGGAGCACCAGCGACCAAAACGAAACTGGTGGATAGCCTGATGGGTCACGTAGTACGGCTGGCTGGTCATAGCATAGCCAGTAGCTTGCTGGACACGATGTACCAGAGTGCCACGCCCCAGCAGCGCATCCATATGCGCCAGGAGTTTTATGGCGATCTGTATCGCAAGGCGAAGGACTCAAGTGTCAAGTCGCTGAGTGACACCTACAAGGAAACAACCAATATGAAGGCATCTATTCTGGGCTCCGTGAAAGCGAATCTGGATCATGTGGCCAATAAGCAGCTGGTGGATAGTTCCCTTGTCCATGCCGTAATGCTGGAATACCTGCGTGCCTGTGACGAGGACGAGGAGAAGCTGGAGGAGACCGTGACTGCCTTTGCGGCGCTAGTGCCCCACATGCTGTCCACCAAGGAAGGCAGCGAGGCCGGTGTTATTTGCTTCTACAAATCCACGCCCAAGAACCGTCGAGTGAGTACCCTAAGTAACCAATAGCAAGTTTTCCAAAGTCTATACTTCCTATATCCTTAGGCCATTATTAAGAACATTAAGGAGCATCTGCTGAAGATCGCCACCCACGAGCATGGCCACGTTTTCCTTATCTCGCTGCTCAATGCCCTCGATGACACCAAGGCCACCAAGAAGGCCATCTATGACCATTTGCATGGCGATTTAAAGACGCTGGTGGGTAACCAGTACGGCCGTCGTGTGGTTCAGTGGCTGGTGGCACCGGGTGATACCACCTGCTTCCATCCAAAGTTTATTCGTTTGGTGGACGAGGGCTTGGCCTACGGCAAGAAGGAGAAGGAGCTGCGTCGCAAGGAGATCTTTGAGCAAATCGAGGCACCAATTGCCGAAAACATAGTCGAGGATCCGGCCTTCTGGCTGTCCAACAGCCACATTGGCCTGGTCACCGCCGATGTCCTTAATCACCGTAAGTTCCTTGGGCTTTTATTATATATTTATTTATCTGTATTTAAATTGATTTTGATTTTTTAGTTCAAGGCGAATCGTATGAGAAGGCGGCCACCGCTTTGGCCAAAGTGATTGCCCAGCCGGAGTGGCGCATTACAGCGGATGCGGCCGGGCCACAGCCACAGGATAAGAAAAAGGCACACAACGATGTGGAGGCCATCATAGCCGAGGCTACCAAGCAGCGTAAAAAACTGCTCCAGACCGATATTAGCAGCAGCGACGATGAGGAGGACGAGTCTGAGGATGATGATGAGGAGGAGGAGGAGGAAGGCGGAGCCCCCAAGCTGAAGAAAGCTAAAAAGGAGGCCAAGAAGGCAAAGGCAGAGGAGCCAGCAGAAGCAGCACCACAAGTCTCTGGCATCGAGGAGGCCGGCATGCACATAGTCCTGAAGAAGATCCTCAAGAATGATGTAAAGCGTGAGGGTGCCATTACCTTTGGACAGCAGCTTCTGGAAAACCTAGCCGCCGATGTGGAAGTGGTGAGTATTTTTCAATTACTTTTCATGTTTTCCCAGCCAGAAGAATTTTTTAATGGTTTAATTAAGTTTATGTTATTCAAAGACATGTATTTAATTCGAGTCTACAAAAGTGCTAAGAGTTGATCATTGCTCAAGTGCTGTTTTAATGTTAGATCTGAGCAATTATTCAGTTTTTTTTGTTATATATCCTTTTGACACGTTAATATTTTATTGGGAAATAACTTGCATTTTTGTTCTCCTCGTTTCTTTTTTAGCTCAACTCTTGGCTAAGTGTTAATCGCGCCTGCTTTGTCCTCGTCAAGCTGGTGGAGAACAGTCCGTCGCTGCTGCAGTCCTGCAAGGAGACCATTTCGTCGGAGAAGAGCCTTAGCCAGACACTGCTTGGCCAGAAGACGCCCGGGGCCAAGATGTTGGCCACCAAACTGGCTTTAAAAAACAGCAAATGAAACCGAGAACGAAATCCCCGTTTTTGCTAGCTTAGACAACTTAATTTTTTTAAATACATAAACCTATATATTGAGAAATGACTGTAAATTAAGTTTTATTTATGCGATGACACAGTTGTCGCTGCTATTGTTGTTGTAAGTCGACGAGTTTTTTACGATTTGCGCAAGATAATGTGCAGTCCCGAGTCAGTGTCCACGATTCCCGATAGCTGGCCAACGTTCAAACCAAAGGCAGCCTTTTCAAATGGCGGCTGCATTTGACCTGTGAAGGATCAGGAACAGGATCAGTTTGTAAATAAAAGGGCTCACAGGTTCTCTTACCTCTGCCAAACTTGCCAAGATCACCGCCCCGCTTGGCGGAACTGCAGTCGGAATAGGAGCGTGCCAGCTCGTCAAAGGTGGCCTCCTGCTGGACAATCTTGTTGCGATACACCTCCAGCAGCAGCTGGGCCTCCTCCTTTGTCCTGGTAATGTTCTCCTCCCGCCAGGAGCTAGGCCGACGGCTGCCCTTGTGTTTCACCAGCAGATGCAGGCACTGCACCTCGTCCGGTGAGTCGCCGGCCCCGCCGCCGGATCCACCACCACCGGTCTTCTTGGCCGGCTCCGTGGGCTGATCCCACTGCGACTCCTTTGTGTACACGTTCAGGTAATAGCTCAACCCTACAAATGAATTAGTTAGTGTGCGAATTTTTTTTAGACGCCGGTCGGTGTTTTTGCTGTTTTTGCTTAGCTTTCCGTTGAGTGTATTTCTTACCTGTTGAGCGGCTAGTGCGCTTCTCCCATCCCTCGGGTAATTGTTCGGCATCGGGCATCTTGCTATATTTGTTTCTCTTAAAATGGATGCGGAAAAATTAAATTAATGTTTCAGGATTTTGGTTTACAGTCAGTGTGACCGTGTGTGGCTCCTAATAAAGTAGGCCATGGAGCCAGAGATGGTACCAAATCGATTTGTCACACAATCGATAGCTGCGGCCACTAAACCTATCGATGGGGCCATTTACGATGATTTGGCCAACTCTAGCCATCACCGTTCCCTTACAAAGCACGGCCGCAGTCCGATCGGAAAACATTTCACCCAGTTCCCCGGAGTAGCTTTTAAACGGACCTAGCCATGTCAGCGATTCCAGGACGTGCTCTCCACTATGTCTTCAAGATCGGCGATCGGGCTAAAAACGCCTTTTTCTTCCGTCAAATCCTTGGAATGAAGGTGAGCGAAAGGGAGGTTGATATTACCGGTGGAATAAGAGGGGAGGAGTTTATCACTTTACGAGTGCATGCATAAATCGGCAGACTTTCTTATCGCTGCTGTTGTGTCTGGGCCGGATTTTTATCTGAACAACGTGTCAACGACTAAACAGCAACTGGCAGTCGCTAATTAAAAAGCCCAGATGCCCAGATAAAGTCATATAATGACGGTGTAACTATTATTATTCCCACTCTTCAAAATTAATCGTGCTCTCTCGTTCTGTCTCGCGGCAACAGGTACTGCGGCATGAGGAGTTCAAAGAAGGTTGTGACGCCGAATGCAATGGGTGAGTGCAAGCGAGATGCCAGACTTAGCTGAGGACTAACTAAAAACGGTAATGTTTAACCCTTACACAGGCCCTACGACAACCGGTGGAGCAAAACAATGGTGGGTTATGGACCCGAGGATTCGCATTTCGTCATCGAGCTTACCTATAATTATGGAGTTAGCAGCTATAAAATGGGTAAGAGATGACTTCTTACTCTAATCTGAGGAATATCTTGTTAATCCCTTATTCTATATATTTAATATTAGGAAAGAAAGTATTTAAACAAGAAAATTGGTACTTGATTTGACTTAAAGTTAACAATGTTGAATAAAGGACTAGTTGCCAATCGTAATCCTCAGGTTCCTTATCTAAAATCACAAATGAGTTGTTCTTTTTTTAAGAACTTTATAATTAAGTGATTTGTTTGAAAGGTATTTTTCACTATTATTAGATTTGATAAGTGACTGTGCGTTATTTCGAATAGATTAAAAATAAATAATCTCTTGAAGTAATTAAAACACACAGTTATCTTTGAGTAGGCTAAAAATCTATCGGATGATTAATCTGTGATGCTATTTTAAAAACTACTTAAACATTATCTTGTTATCGCAACCTAAATTATAGTTTAAAATGTATGAGTTACTAATGAATATCACAACTTTCCCCCTCTAAAGGCAACGATTTTGGTGGCGTAACCATTCATTCCACGGAAATTCTCTCGCAGGCCGCCAAGCACTCGTATCCTGTACAGAAGGTGGCTGGCAAAGGCAGTCTGCTCACCTCACCGGATGGCTACAAGTTCTACGTAATTGAGCAGCCAGCGGCCAGCTCCGATCCCGTCCAGTCGGTGGAGCTGAATGTCAGCAATCTGCAAACCTCCCGAAAGTACTGGCACGAGCTGCTTCAAATGCAATTGCTTGATGAGAACAAACAGAGTTTGCGCCTAAGTTACGGAGGAACGCAGGCTACGTTACAGATCACAGAGATCAAGGAGCCACTGGACAGGGCCAAAGCTTATGGAAGGATCGCCTTTGCCATTCCATCGGCCAAGCAGCCACCGCTTCATGAGGCGGTAAAGGCAGCCAATGGCACCATATTGAAGCCTTTGATCACCCTGGATACGCCGGGTAAGGCCACAGTTTCGGTGCTAATACTCGCCGATCCGGATGGCCATGAGATCTGTTTCGTTGACGAGGAGGGATTCGGGGAGCTGTCCCAGGTGGAGCCCGATGGTGATGCGAGACTGGATAAATATATCGCTAAAGATCCCTTCCAGCCGAAGTGATGCCTGTGATCGATTGTGAATTTAATGATTTAATATGTTTTTTTTTTATGTATGTACATACCGTTTTCGTATTTGAAATTGTATTGCAGTTGTTAAGTTCGGTTGCCGGGTGACTTGTAAAGATATTATACACATAAAATGTACTTAAATTTTGTTTACATAAACTGTCGATAAACTTATGACATGTTATATTCTTTATATTTATATTTCCATTTGAGGATTTCATGATTTTTCTATAAATATTTTACTATTTATACGTAACAGAATTTGTTTTTATATCAGGTGTATTGGATTTTCCCATCATTTTCCTTTGAGATTTAAAATCAACAAAAACTGTTTCGTTTTTTAAACCTTGTTTTTTTATAGTTATTTTAGGTTTTTTTTTAGTGTTTTATATAATTGTATTTTGACTGAGCCTAAGACAATGAGGGACACATCCTTAGGGACGCCAAAGTCCGCCAATCTGAAACCATGGATGCATTTGGAATTAACGGCGGAAGGGCAGAGGCAAATCAACTGCAGTTGGGGCAAGTACTTTGCAAGGCGGCGCAGGGATATCGATGCCATGAGGAACTTTAATCTGTGCGTTACACGGCGCGATGCTGTCGTCGATCAAAAGGCCCTCTGTCTGCGTAGCAAATTCCAAAGGGCAGTGGGCTTGGCTCAGGGTGCCCTTGATGATAGTAAAAAGGCCACCGAAGCAATGACAGTGTGGGATGCCACTGTGACTATGGAAATGGCCGATTGCCTCTACGATCTCAATCGGTTCGAGGACAACAAGGCTTTGTTGCACGAGAATGTTCGCCGAAATATTGGCACTTCGCGGGAGCCCTTTGCAAGGCGCCTACATGCAGTCAACGCAAATCTCAAGGATAGCACCGGGGACAGTCTGACAAAGTTCTATATGGAACACTCGACGGCAATGCCCGGTTTCTACGAACACAAGAGGGACCAGCTTGTGAAGGCGGACAAGCGGCCACTGTGGAAGATACGACAGGATAACCAGGAGTGCGATGTCCAGAGCTATATCGATCGAAAGGAGGTGTTGCTATCGCCCCTGGAGAGCGAACGTAGATTTCGAAAGACCAAGAATTTTTACCAAAACTACTTGGGTCGCAATTGGACCGATTTTATATTCATGAAAACGCTTCGCGACAATCCACAGCTTCTGTTGGACCACAATTTTGGTTCCTCGAAGGAGAGGCGGGCTTGTCTGGAGAGATCGTTTCAGCGCATAAAGTCCTTTGCCCGAATGCTCCATGCTCGCAGTCCCATGTACCATGAGTACTTCCAGCGTAGTCCCGTAATGGAGGCTCGGATGAGGGAGGCGAATCTGTTCAGGATCCAATACCAGACCAGGCGCAATATGCACAGTATCCTTCGGACAGTTCGGGTGCTGAGAAAAACGAATGATATATCCGTGAGTTAAGATTACTCTATTCACGTATATTTCAGTACCTAAGATTGCCTTTGGTTAACCAGTGCCTGCGCAAGTTCATCGAGGATGTGATGGGCAACTATGTGATCCTTAAGACCGATCGCCTGATGCCATGGAAGGTAGAGTTTATGAACGAGGTTTATAACCATCTAGCACTCAGTCTCTGCGATACCTATCGCATTCCCAAGACGCCAGTGACGCCCCACGATAAGAACGCCATGTGCAATCTGCTCAATATACCCGCGGCCAAGCCGCTGGAGTTCACAGAGGTCATCTTCGGCGACCGATCCTCCTATTCTAATGCTGGCGGCGACAAACCACACACGGAGCGCACAATGGCCGACCACCAGTGAGTATTAAAACCTTCGTTTTGATTTGTGTTCTTGTTTTTAGAGGTAGGACTTCCTTTCCTTTGTAGGACTTCCATTGAGCATTTGGAGCGGCGGCTATTGTTCGCCCGTCTGCCAATCGAGCGGGCGTATCTGCTCCATGAAGTGGCCGATCGACACATGCAGCAGAACCACTTCAGCCAGTGCCTGTCGTCGGCCCGCAGGGCCATTGAAGAGGCCAAGGCATGCAATAGCCTGGTGTGGCAGTTCCTCAGCATGATGTTGATGGCCAAGTCGCATGCCGTCCTCCACAAGTTTGAGCGTCAGAAGGAGGTCTTGAATTTCGCCTATGAACTGGCCACCGACCTAAAATCGCCGCGTCTCTGCATCTTCATCGAACTGTGCCGCATGCTGAACAGGGACTACATCACGCTCCGGAAAATGACGCAGCTGGTGACCCAGAAGCGGCTGCGCTCCAAAATCTCCAATAGATCCAGCTTCCTATCCAACGCCTCGCCCCAATACTCACTCTACGAGCAGGAGGACAGAAGGAACTTGTTAGAGAAGGCACTTAGTTCGCATAACTGATCCAACGGATCGGATGACGGGCACTCCTATAAGTCAGTGACCATCATTCGATCTGTTGGGTTTTTTTGTCAGCCGAAATATGTGCTTTTTCTTAAAAAAGAAATTAATTTAATATTAAAAATATATATAGATAAACATAAACCACACAAAATCATATTAAAAATAATTGAAAAATATGTAAAAATTATAAAAATATTTAAAATATTGTAAAAACCAAGGAAAAAAACATCAGAGATGTAACAAAATCATATAAAAATGTACATAAAAAAATAAAATTTTGTTTTGAAACGGTATTTTTTTAATTTTAAAAATTTCAATTATTATTATAATTAGGTTTTGAATATATTTCGGCATAAAAAACTCATAAGGAACCACAATTAAATATACAAAATAATATATGTATATATTTCATTCTATAATACAAACCCCTCTTAAATATAAAACCATATAATTTAGCAGACTTTTTGTTCGCGATTTCTTTTCATTTTTTGTTGTATGGTTTTTGTATGGGAATTATCAGAAATTAAAATGTCACTGGCCCATTTTTGAATATAAAACGAATGACATAAATAAAATAAACACAATTCTAGCAGCTGCAGTAAAAACTATTGAAAATGTGCGCTGCCGAAATCAATGGAAATGACACCGTAACGACATCCGAAATAAAATCATTTAAAAAAGCATAACAATTAAAAATCCCAATATCACATTTAAACGAGATTATAACAATAACCAAACAACTTTTTTGTTTGCTGTAAATATTTTTCAACCCAGCCTCCAGACCACCCAAAAAATAAAATCTAAACAAAATTCCGGCCGGGGCAAAAAATTGTTTTCGCACTCTTAAATTATTTATGTGTTCGTTCGATGGGGCGGCGGGCAGGAGATTGCACTTGACTCCAATTTAGCCAATAACCCAAACCCCAAGTCCCAGTCAGCCAGTCAGTCAGTGTGCCTGACCTCGCCCAACTAGAAACTACGATTTGCATATTTTGTTACTATAGTTTTTTTTTCTTTTTTTTTTTGTTGTTATTTTTGTTGTCAGCATTGAATTGTCGCATGTTGGCCAGGGTTGGGTAACTGCTAACTGGAACTGGAGAACTGGGCCTGAAAGAGAAATTACATTTTATTTTGTCGCATGTCGCGGAGCCCCAATAGGCGAGAAGTCGAGGAGTTTTTATAACTCAACTTATTGGTACTCTTTAAAGTAAATATAAATAAATAAATTATAATTCCTTTTATTAATTTCATTAGATGAATCTACAATTTATATATAAATCTCCAAAAGTGTACTTATAATTCTCAAGTTAGAATTCAAAAACATGGATCATCAGCTATACTGAATACTGATGGGGTTTTTTAACTGAATCTTGAAAGGGTTTAGGGTTTTGAAGGTTTCAATAAAAAATATATATATAGTCTTCAAGTAACTTAAATATTTGTAATATAAATCTCTAATTATATACTTTTTTTTGCTAATGATTTAGAAGGCACGATTACCCTGTTGCAGTTGCTTTGTTTTATATATTTAAATTTAAAACTAAAAATATTACAACCATAAATATTTTTTAAGGTGTATTCCAAGGCAGTAATCTTTTATAATAATACTTGAATAATTTTTAATAAGAAACCACCCTAAAATGTAACATAATAATCCAATCAAAGACCAAGTTAATGAAATAATATATACAATTTTTTATTTAAAATATTTAAAGTTGGATTTAAATGGTAATGGCCAACTTTGTTTCAAGAAAGGGTATGACAGCAGGCATGCAAAATATGCAAAAGAGCAAATGCGTCAATAAATGCAACGACAACAAATGTTTTATTGTGTCAATGCTGGCCAAAAGGGTCGCCGAAAGGGTTATTTTTTCGGTTTGTTCTTTATTTCTTTTTGCGTTGTTTTTGCCTAGCCAGTTCCCAAGTGGCCAAAACAAATGCAGCTGGCGAGTAGCGTTGCATCGCGTCGCTTCGAGTTCCGAGTTTGGGCCTGTGGCACATGGCACACATATTTGCAGCTCATTATGCCAGTTGCCATTAAAAGTGAAAGAGAAACCTGCCCAAGGACCTCCCAGACACTGTGCGAAATTGTCGATGGCAATTCGCCCCGCCATGCCGCCATGCACCGCCTCACCTTGCACTTCAATCAGCTGCCATCGCCAGGACGCGAAGGCAATCAACAAGCTCGAAACTCGAAGCTTGCGGCTCCTTCCTGCTCTATGTGTACTTGTATTTTTCTTTCTTTCCTTCGTTTCCTTTTCTTTGCCGCTCGTCCTTTTTCTTTTTGCCAAGGAAACCTTATTGGCCAAATTGGGGTCAGCACAAGAAGGTCGCGATAACAGCGCAAATAATTGGTAATGGCAGCGCCACCAGAAGCCGGCCAAATTGCATCGAACGTTAAGGTTCCATTTCGTCCTGACCCCCACTCAGTGTGCTTGAGTCAGATTTTCGGGTTTGTGTCTGCAAGTCATTCGAGGAATCGTTTTGGAATGGTTGGACAGACTGCCGTTGTCCTGGCTCTCCTTCAGCGGCATTTATATTCTTTTCGGGTTTCAACTCTGGGGGGCTTTCACTCCAACTGCTTAATGTGTGGAAAATAGCTCCGAAGTTGCTTAAAATATTACGGTGGTGGTAGATTTTAGATGGCTTTCCACTTGGGTATTTTAAATAATTAAGTAATCAGGGGACAAGAGAATTTTTTAGAATCGTTGGTGTAAGGTGTTGGTTCAAATATTTCAAAGTATACAAGTGAAGAGATATCATTGAAGAAGGTTATTGGTGTACAGTTAGTTTTGTTGAAATACTCTTTCTGAGGTTTGTAAAACTTTAACTTTAACTTTTTAGTTGGACAAGTATTAAAAACATATATATATATATTAAAGTAATCAGGTGAAAGAGTATCATTGGGGAATCTTATTGGTGTATATTTCGTTTTGTTGGAATACTCTTCCCAAGGTTCGTAAAACCTTTTAAACTCACCAACAATTTAAAATTATTGGTTTCAATTGAAATCAGTTTGGGAAAAGGCTTTATCTGATATTCTTAAAACATTTTGGTTAGTTTTTGAAAGAAATACCTAATGTGGGAGAAGTTCCAATGCTTTTATTTTACAATCATTTGGGAATTTCTTTTTCTACATTTAAATTGATCATATTTGTTTATTTAAATTGAAACACCTTGTGTCTCTAAACGCAAACAGGTGCATCAATTTAAGGCTGCCACAAATTTTATGGCAAAACACTTGATAATAATTTCACCTCACACTTTTACTGAACTTTTCCTTTCGACTTTTTGAACTTTTCTCCCTCTGCACTGTGCAACTTTTCCGGTTAGTTGTTGTATTGTTGTAGTTGTTGTTGTTGTTGGTGTCGGCCTTATTGTTATTGTTGTTTTGTGGTGTTGTTGTTGATGGTGTTACTGCTGCCATTCGCAACTAATTTACGACTGGCCGTCGCGCTGGGAAGACTCTCCAAAGACTGCGGCAATTGTCGGGCAATCCCTGCAGCAACCCTTAGTCCCCTCCTCTCCTCTGGGTTCCCTTCCTCCCTCTTAGCACCCTTTACCATAAAGTTAAATGAATGTGGTGGCCAACAAAATATGCTACAAGTAAACCATGAAAATAAATACCCAAAAAAAAAAAAAAACAGAAACAAAATGGAAAGCCCAAAATGCAACTAGAAATTATAGTATATACACGGAGTAGGCGTTGATTTTCGCCATGGGGGCGTGGTCCGCATTAAGTGTCCCCATAGAGCTCGCCAAAAACTGAAATAAAACTAAAAAAAATAAAAATAAAATTAAACAGCAGGAGACCTGACCAGAAAGAAAAAAACGTCGATGAAATGTCGGACGACGACCTCAAAATATACAATCAATGTGGGGGCTTGGAAAAACGTGGAAAACTGGGCAAACTACGTAGAGAAAATACGGGGGGAGTGGGAAAGCCAAGGTGCCATTAGAGCCATTAGGATTGGCAAACTTGAGCCGCACCATCAGGCCAACGATAACGACAATGACAACGACGACGATGATGATGCAGCAAAACTAATAAAATTAAATTATTATGTAAAATGCAAATAAAATAATATGCAAATCGAATATATGAGCCCACAAGAGCTGCTGCTGCTGCTCTCCGGTTCATGTCCATGGAGCCATGAGTAATCACAGACGCAGAGCCAGGACCCCCCCAAAAACAAGGCAAATAAACACATAAATAAATCAAAAATGGACTACGACAAATCTCGGTTGGCTCGAAACAGAAAGCCAAGCGCCGGACACGGACAGCACCAGCAGCAGCGAGAGAGCATTAAAATATGGCCAATAATAACCGAAATATCCAAGTGATATATCCATCTAACCACCCAACCACCCAACCACCCATTCTACCCACCAAACCCAATCCCGGCCGGACTAAAATTGGTAATACGAGATGGGGTAACTGGCAAGAGGTGGGGTTGGAGGGACATTAAGGAAGAATGTGGCACTTTTTCCACGGGATGTGGACTCTGAATTACTCTTAAAAATGCTAAATCTGTTTAAATTTGTAGAATTAAGTGCAGAGCATGTGTTAAATTACAAAACTAGGTTTGACATTATTTTTTTTATAATTTAAATTAATTAAATATTACATTTTATTTTCCTAGAACCTTTTATAAATTAACAGTTCGCTCTTATGGCAGTTACGTATACGTAATATTATAACGTAATTATTACGTATACGTAATTGGCACAAAATGTTAGGCGCAAATTTTTAATTTATACAAAGATCTAGGATAGTAAAAGTTTATTATTATATTTATTGATAAAATATTGAATATAATTATATGAAATGTTTAAAAACAAGTAATATAAAATTTCTATTTTAAAACCAAAAAATGTAAATACCATGAGAACAGTATATTTTTGTCTAACATTTATAACTATTTAATTAAAAAATAAATAAATAATAAATAAAATAATTATAAATAAATAAAAATTATAATAAAATAAATAAAACCTGCTCCTGCTTATTTCTCCTAAGATGCTTAGAATTCCCAAGTTCTTTTTTACGACAGCTTGAGAACTCCTTTGAGCTGCTTTGTCTAAAATTGAAAATTATTTTTACTACAATAA